GTATCCAGCGTGGGTTTGTGCTTCTTGAGGGAGGGAGGCGAGAATAAAAGAACATGATTAGAAAGAAAGCATGACAGTGTGAAGTGGCAACAATGGATTGAGGGATTTAGTTGAAGATCAGTAGAATTTCTGTTGAAAAGGCAATTAACTCACATCATGGGTTATAAAAAAGGTACATGCCAAATTTTCTCTTTCCATGAATCTTGTCTCACAAGAAATGAATCACTGAATGAAGAAGTCTTTGCATTTAACTCCTAAATCCACATTTAGGTCCGTAGATTTTTTTTTCTCCCACATCATAGGAATATAATTTCCTCTTAAATCCACTGTTAACAGTTTAAGATTATTACCCTGAGAATCTAGCCCACATTTCTTAACAATGGATTGTGTCTTCCACGGCAAAATCTCTGACACATAGCAAGGCTACCAAACCAGGGACTAGTAGTGTCATCATCTGCCCAGATATTAACATATGTTAATCAGCAGATGAACTTCTGGAATGGACCAAGGGGCCCTAGCACAAGCAAAATTAAGGCGATGAATAAGAAAACAGGTTCACCGATGAAGCAGGAAAACAAGGCAACAAACAGCTGGTAGAAGTTGGCTTCTATGACCATAGCATTAAAATATCTAAACAAGCTGACGTACTGGGGGAAAAAATTGGGTCACTAGGAACAAGGAAATGGAACAGATGGGAACAAACTGGTGGAATGTCTCTGTTTCAATGTTTGTTTACTCCTTTTCCAAATCTGATATATTACACAGTTACAGTAACACACTGATTCTCAGGAACCAAATCTCAGCCACTGGATTGACTAACACTTGGCATCCATAAGAATCTATTAAATAAATATGTTTAGCATTGATTGAGGGCTTAATTCCCTGAAAAAATACGACCATTTTCTCCAAAGCCTGGCCTGCGCAAGCATTACTGGCGGAAGAGAAATGAATTTCACAGTGGAGACAAAACTGCCACTTGGCTGCTCCAATGCTTTACCAAGTTTGAGAAGCAAAATATGCTTTTTGATGGGTGCAAATTGCCCTTTTGTGATCAATGGTGGCACTTTTTCAGCTATCTTCAGTTTTCAACTTGACTAGCAAAAAGTAGCACCTTAGCCTAGAGTAACTAATCCCCACTCCCAGAAAAGCCAAAAATAAGCCTGCAGCCTCTTTATTTCTGACAGAAAGGATGATTACAGAAATCTGCTTAACCACACTTAAGAATATGGGCTTAACTTACACCATTAAAAATCTCACGAGAATTTCATTAGAATAATAGCAAAAGCTCACCGCAAACACACACATAGTACTGGGCCCTTACACATCTTTTACTACCTGGGGGACTATTAAAGAGACTAATATGGGAGACATATGTGAAATATTTATGAAAGACAAAGTAACTGAGATACTAGACTCATAAAAGAGTAATTTCCTCTACTATATTCAGCAGCATGTACAAAAAGGAGATTTTTTTTTTTTACATAATAAAATACACTGGCAAAAGCTACAGATGAAACAGTAAAAGAGAAGCAGGGAAATGCAAGTTACAATTCCCTTTAATACACTAAAATGTGCTTAGGGAAGAAACAGCTGCAGAAAGAGTTTGGGGAGTGTTTTTGCTGTTATTACTCTTTGTAAGAAAACCTTGAGTTTCTATTATCTTCCTCTCAAAGAGTTTAGACATTGTAACATAGGCCGTTCCCTTTAAGGCCCCTGTGAAGCAGGTAGATGATTCAGTTATTTTGTGAACTCTCATAATGATGTCCCCGGGATGTCTATTAGAAGGTTATTTGAAACTATAACTTAAGGATGTTCCATGCAATTACCTTTGTAGCCCCTCTATGTGCTGCTTACCTAGTCAAAATACACCCAATTTTAAGATGTTAGAATGCGGTGAGCAAGCAGATTCTAAGAGCACACTTAAGAACGGCAGTGCCAGTTCCACGATAGTATGGGGCATAGCACAGTAGGTTTCTGAGACAGTCTTTAAAAATCCAGGGAGAGAGGGTATTAGACTAATCCAAGACGGACAGGGGCATTAGCATACCAGTCCCTGGTTCTCCTAGACCCGCCCCCATTACACTTCAAACTTCTTCAATCTCTGAAAATGAAAACCCTTCACAGAAGTAATAAAACTTGATCCTGGAAAAGATGAAGAGATTAGTCAAAATGTCAAAGGCAGCATGCCTGCCAGAGGATGCTGACGGCCTGAGCCACTTTGCAAGGGTGGCTGATGGGCAATGCCACCATGTGGCTTAGGAAGCACAAAGGCCCACCTGTCCCCACACAAGGCTGCCCGCAGGCCTCACCTTTGCTGGTCATTTCTTCAGGTTAAAAGGTTATTTCCTTCTTGAAACTTTCGTTGGTTCCCACCTTCTTTGAAATGCAACCATTTAATCAATCATTCAGAAAATATGTATAGAGAGTGTATTCTGTGATCAGCAATAGCGATAAAATCATGAAAAAGACAAGCAGAGTTCCCTGTGTAGTTTCTAGTCAAGAGTATAAGACACTAATAATAATTTTTTAAAAAAGCAAGACAAAATCAGTTTTAAAATTGGGTAATGTGACAGAGGGTAACTGGTCGGCTACTTTAGATTAGATGGCCGGATGATAACCTTTCTCAGGAGGTGACATTTCAGATGTGGGTGATGAGGAGGAGCCAGGCATGTGATTAAGAGAAGAAAAAACATTCTTGCAGAGGCAACAGCTACTTGCAAAGGCCTGCAGCTGAGAAACAGATACACTCTATTTGAGGACAAGAGCAAAAAAAAAAAAGGGCGGGGGGGCAGGGGGGAGGTGGGAGCGGGGCATAGAATTGGGAGAATACAGAGAGTCATGAAATCACCCTGGGATTTATAAGCCAGAGTAAGGAGAGCACAGAGGGAAGCCATTGGAGGTGTGTAGTCACTTTTAAACGACTTACTCTCACTGCTGTGTAGATAATCTATTACAGGAAAGCCCGAGTGGAAGCAGAGATACCAGTGGTGCAGCTAGTGCAGTCGCCAAGAGTAAAATATTGCTGGATTGGCCCAGGGTGGTAGATGCAAAGCTAGAAGTAGTTGGATGTGGAGAGAGAGATGACTGGATCTGGTTTCAGGCTTGGCATCGGGGGAGGGATAAAGAGGGAAGGGGGCATAATGTTAGACTTCTGGTTTGGGTGATTGGCTGGATCCTGAGACTCTTCACTGAGGAGATGAAAACTAAACAGGGACAAGTTAAGGAATCAAGCATTCTGCTTTGGCACTTGATTTTGAAATAGCTATTAAACATCCACATGGAAATGTCGAGTAGACAGTTGGATACAGAGAAGCTGCAGAAAGAGCACATATTAAATGGCCAGACGTGCTCTCCTAAGTGGCCAGTGAACGGCGGTTTGATCTTCACCTTGTTCTTTCTCCTACCTGACCCAACTTTGATGAAGCTAGAATTAGATAAAGTATATAAGGAAACCCTGCAAAGAATAAAGCGAAGCCCTCACATTTGGAATTATTATCACTATCACTATCCATCAAGTACTTATCAGGCACACATTGTGTTAAAATGTCTTTGTTGCAGATGTTTCAGGAAATGTAGGTCATGCCATTCCCCACCCCCCAAAGGTATTATAGCTTTTAGGGGGCTCATATTATAGAGAAAACTGAAGGTCATCTTAAAACTGATAAAAGGGAAGCATCTCTAAAAGAGTTAGCATGTCACAGGACTCCGCTGTGACCTTACGCAGCCACACAGACTTGACTTCACAGATTTTCTCACCTACCTCGCCAAGTAATCATTGCAAAATTGAGAGGTTGTAGCTTCCCTGGTGGTGGGCCTGCTGAAAGACTTCAGTGCCACAAATACAGTTAATGCTCCTCCACTGAATGCCATGTAATCTCAGATTTCATAATTAGTTTCTCCTTCATGTCTAATGAAATTCCAATGAAAAATGCAATTTTATAGAGCAAGACTATGTCCACTATCAGGCATGAACACTTTAGCATGACATTTGTGTGTCTGATTACTAACTGAGAGATATGCCCTTAAGGAATGGGACAGCTGACTGGTCAGTTTGATCTGGGCTTGGTCAGGTAGCCAAGAAGATCAGCTCCTTCTAGGCAGAGCATGTCCAGATGGACAGGCCAAGGGAAGGAACATAAGCAGCTCTGAAAGGTAATGTAGAATTATCTCTGATTCTTTTGGCTACATAGTTTCATCCCATGAAGAAAGGGGCTCCTTGCTTTTGTGCTCATTCAGGAAAAAAAAAAGCATTAAGGGTGAAATAGAGCTTAGCTATAGCTAGATTTCTCATAAAAACAAAACTTCCAAAACAAGAGCTATGAACTGTATCTTGAAAAACTAAGTGTCATAAAAAGAAAGAACATGTTAGACTCACACCGTGACACCGTTTGTCACTATTGTCATTAACAAGCACATCATCCCTTAGGAATATCTTCCTTTCGGAGAACTGTTATGAAACTGAAGTGCTCAGGACACCAGCCCTTGCTATGGGTTTCATTGAGGTTATCCACTTGAACAACGAAAATATAGCAAACCATTCTCTCTCAGGCAGGAGTTCACAGATGACCCGTGGAACTATGTAAGAGCCATCCCTGCCCAGAGAGAACAAAATTAATTAAGGTATTGAAAATCATAATTAATTTGACTATCTTGAAGAAAATTGCAGTGAGCTTTCAATCTTGCACATAGTGTTCGAACCAGTTTATAGATTACCAAAGCTCATTTTAAACCCACAAGTGGCTTCTTTCAACAGTGATTATGCTGATAAACTCTCTTCAAGACGTACGACATTGAGGGAGGTATTTACCAGGATGAAAACTAATTTGCAGCAGAACGCATTTAGAAAGTTGACCTACCACAGCATGAAATCATTTAGCATTTTCCAAAACCAAGTTAGCATTCGTTTCCAACTTAATAATGAGTGCCTGGTATTGTTTGTGCTGTTACCTATGCTGCCCACTTGCCTAACACTGAAGTTCCTCTCCTGCTTTGTTTTCCAGCCTCTGCAAGCACGTATGTCCCAGCGGTGTGCAATGGGCGTGAAGTCCTCGACTCCACCACCTCATCTCTGTGATTGTGAATTGCGGTTCAGTTCTCGTGTTTTTAGACTGTTAGACTAAAGTGCTCGCGTGCAGCTCCAGACTATGGAAACAGAGCAAAAGAACAACCCTAGTACCTTTTTTTAGAAACAGTACAATAAATTATTTTTGAGGACTGTACAGTATATAGTGATGTGCTAGAACTTTTTAGGCTGATTTCCGTGCCCCTGTTATTAACGATTCCCCAGAACATGGAAATAACCATTGTTTACAGAGCTGAGCATTGGTGACAGGGTCTGACAGGGTCCGTCTACTAAAAACTATGGTGGCAATATTAGGTAACTTTTTTCCTATAAAGTTTTTGTAGGTTCTTGTTGTAACTAATTTAGGATGCGTTTCTATGTTGTATATTCAAGTTACATTATGTGTAACAGATTGTTTTTCTCAGCACAAAATAAAAAGCATCTGTATTAATGTCAAGCTACTGAGAATAAAACCATCACGGTTTTCCAGCATGGTGGGTAGTGGTCTGTTCTTTATAAATCACTCCAAGTAACTTGCATATCTTGACTTCAGACCATTTCTACTTTTAATGTTGGAAGAAACTGTCTAACATCACTTCTCTTCACATCTATACATACTTTGAACAATGAGAGAGAAACATCGATTCAGCTGCCTCCTACACACTCCCTACTGGGGATGTGCCCGCAACCAAGGTACATGCCCTTGACTGGAATTGAACCCGGTACCCCTCACTCCGCAGGCCGACGCTCTATCCACTGAGCCAAACCGGTTAGGGCCATTTCTACTTTTAATGTTGGAAGAAACTGTCTAACATCACTTCTCTTCACGTCTATACAGTTTGAACACAAACTGTTACACTAGAGGGTTGCGAGTAGATCTGGACTTCTTCACTGATCACAATGGTTAGAAAATATCCAGCCATTTCAGTGGCCAGATGACAAGACACATCTTGGTTTCTTTGAGCCACACCTGTACTGCAGCCCAGAATCTGCCCAAGTAGGGTTCCAAGGCAAGAAGGAGGGGCTCCCTATATTCTGAATGCAGAGAAGCAACCTTAATAAGTAGGAAGGAGACTGGGAAAGCATCCTGTCATTTCATTGGAAAATCACTCTCACCATTCATAGCTGAGTCAGGCAATAAAAATGCAGGACATATTATTTCCCAATGCTTTTCCTAAGTCCCAGTAACAATGCTTAGGCACACAGGCTTGTCCCTAAACTTGCCTATTTTACGAACCTAAATAAAGAGCAAACGGGGAAAGTATGGATAAGCTAAAACTGGCTTGTTCTTACCTATTTCTCCTTGTAAGCCTTTTAGCCACAGATCATTTATTACCGTAGAAAAATATACTAAGAACCTAACTACCTGTCAAGTCCTGTGCCAGGTGTCAAGGATAGATATACATTAGCTTTCTGCAACTAAATAACAACTTACCACAAGCCGAGTGGCTAAAAACAATGGAAATTTATCCTCTCGGTGGAGGGAGACAATTTATCCTCTTGGTGGAGGAAAAATAAAAGGGGACATCTGTAATACTTTCAACAATAAAGTTAAATTTTAAAAAATAAGTTTATTCTCTCACAGTTCTGGAGGCCAGAAGTCCAAAATCAAAGCACTGGCAGGGTCTCATCCCTTCAGAAGCTCGAGGGCAGGATCCAGTCCACGCCTCTCCTAGCTTCCGGTGGTTGCCAGCTTCCTTGGCTTGTGGCCTCCATCTTTACATTGCCTCTCTGTCTGTTTTCTCCTCCATTTGTCTCTAACAAGGTCCCTTGTTACTGGATTTAGGGCCCAACTGGATAATCCAGAATGATCACATCTCAATGATATCTGCAAAGGCCCATTCTCAAAATGTGGTAGCATTCCCATGTTCCAGAGATAGGATATTGACATATCTTTTGCGGGGGGGGGGGGGGGTACTCTTCAATAAATGAAAAAAAGAGAGATAAATAAGATGTAGTTCCTGCCTTTAAGAAGCATAGCGACTGGAGAGTATTCTAGTGAGGGAACTATGACTGAGGAAGACAGTGAGAAGAGGAGGAGAATCAAGTACATAAGGGACCGCCTGGCTGGCATGGCTTAGTGGTTTGAGTGTCGACTGTGAACCAGGAGGTCATGGGCATGTGCCCGGGTTGTGGGCTCTAGTGCATGCAGGAGGCAGCCAATCAATGATTCTCTCTCATCATTGATGTTTCTATCTCTCTCTCTCCCCTTTCCTCTCTGAAATCGATAAAAAAATATTTTTTAAAAGAAAGGATATGAGGGACCCACAGGCTAATAACCAGGGCCTGGTTCCTTGAGACATGCTCATACTATTTGCACAACACCCAGGAATAATGAGCAGGTGTGCAAAAGCCAACAGGACTGGCCTTAAAGGAAACAAAATGAGGAGTCAGATGTTAGAGATTCTCTTTTTCCTTCCGAATACATTTGAATCAGCAACTAATCAATCCATCCAAACCGCACCAGATGCTCAAAGACAACAGTGCTCACCAGGCCCTGAATTCTCATATTGAAATAAGAACCTGGATTTTCAGGAGTGAGTGGGGGAGACTGGGGATCGGGTTCAAGGGCACTGGATGGCAAAAAAGACTCCTGCTGTGACTGCAACTGGCAGGAGTGCTAGAACAGTGTGCTCAGAATGAGCAGCTGCTCAAGATAAAGTCAGCCCGCTGATGGAATGTGACAGTCTGAGGCAGGAAATATCAGATAGGTTGTTCAGAGGCACAACTGATGCCTAACACAATCAAATTGGTCAAGGATCTCTTTAAACAAGATAACTAGGCTGTGGGTGAATCTTGAGAAACTGTTTGTGAGAGCTGAGTTTTGATTTCTGGGCACTCTATTTCACGTCCAGCCTGGACACAGAAAATGCACTCACTGACAGCTCTTGTCATTTCTCCTGCCCTGGCACAAGCCTTGTTTCCAATTTCAAAGTGCATCATCTAACATGTGATCCCTAGAAATAATGTTTGAAAAAATATTCAGAGTATACATGGAAAATAGCTGCTATAAAATCTTTTTTACATAAGCCATTTCAAACAAATAGGTTTGGGATTGATTTATTATTATTATTTTTTTACTCCAGTAACATTTCATCCTTCCAAAATATAAAACTGGTTGAGCTGATCCATCTTTGCAAAAACTTCCCGAATTTAAGGAACTCAAGCAGAATGATGTATACCACTCATTAAAAAAATATCAGAACCTAACGGGATGGTCGACTATCATTGGTTTCCCAAGTGTTTACAGTTTCTGAAATGCTCTGTGTCCTTTCTGGTTTAAATATCAATCTATTGTCTTGTCCACTCGGGTTTATCGTGGTAAAATAAAAAGGAGCTAGGCAAGCTGGTTTGCAGACTACACAGAGGACAGATTAAGAGAGTGGCTAAGAAAGAGGGGATTCGGTCTTCAACTCCACACTTCCCCAGGGTAGCCCCCCTTTCCTCACTTACCTGTGGTAATAGGTTTGGCCTCAGAGCTCATCGGCAAAGGCTATTAAGCATGGAGCAGCCAATAAAGGTGAGGCGCCAGGACGATGGAGCACCTGTGGGGATTACAACCACCACAGCTCTACTAACAAACGCCCAAACCCATGAATAAGACGAATATCTCTCCTGTTCTGTGACAGAAAGTTTAGCTTTATGTAATTCCCTCTGGTTTCACTCATTTATTTAACCCAAGCCATCTGAGATGAAGGAAATCTTGCCCCCCTCCAAACCAAATCTACCAGTATCCACAAGATATTTTAGACAAAGCTCTTCTTCCAAGAGTTATGAATAAGATGAGAAAGAAGTACAGCAAATTAAAAGCCTTATTGGGACATTTTGTTCAAGGAAATTGGCGATCTCTCTCTGGACCCACCAATCATTAAAAGAATCCTAAATGTCTTTTGCAGCTCCGTAAGTCTTAAAACACAATTTGGTAAATGTGTGAGGATTGAGGTGTGCCCTGTCTAAATGCAAAGACCCTCTCCAGGGCCGGGGGCTCTAGAATCTGCACTGAAGCTCCAATACCCTCCACTTCCAAATGGTTACTTTAAATGGATCTGTATACAAAATTGAATATTATCTCCAAATCCACTTACCTTAGCAACAAATGTTATATAAACCCCAATGAGAAAAGGTTTTTAAATGAATCTTGCTGGTTTACTCTGAGCCAGTTCACTTGCTTTGGTTTTACCAGTTGCTGACCAATAACCATAACCAAGTCCAAGAACTGTAAAAGGAACTCCGAATCTGAGTATCTGGCTTTGTCTTTAACTGTTGATTAAATCATCTAGGGAGGGTGTTAGGTTATTTTCTTTTTGAACATTTCTAAAGACTTGAGAAATGTTTAAGGTGGTAGCTCCTAAAGGGTAAACAGTTTTGCTTGTGGGTTTTGGTGATCTAAACCAGGGGTCAGCAAACCAGAGCTCGCAGGTCAAATCCTGAGCTAAGAATGCCTCTCGACTTTTAAATAGTTGGGAGAAAAAAATAAAAAGACAACTGATATTGCCCTGGCCAGTGTGGCTCAGTTGGTTGGGTGTTGTCACATGTACTGAGAAGTTGCTGGTTCGATTCCCAGCCATGACACATGCCTGGGTTGTGACTCCATCCCTGGTGGGGAGCCTGCAGGAGTGTGCAGGAGGCAGCCGATCAATGTTGTACTCTCACATCCATGTTTTGTCTCCCTTCCTCTCTCTAAAAAAAAAAAAAAAACCAATAAAATATTCTTTTTAAAAAAGAGGAATGATATTTTATAAGTGACATTTAAATGAAACTCAAATTTCAGTGTACATAAATACTTTTATTGGAATGCAGCCACACCCACTTGTTTACATGTTGTCTGTGGCTGCTTTCATGCTGCAATGGCAGTGAGGAGTTACAATTGAGACCATGTGTCCTGTAAAGCCAAAAATATTTACTATCTGACCTTTAACAGAAAAAGTTTGCTGGCTTCTGACCTAGACAATTACAATAATAATATCAATTGACTTCCAGTTATTTGTCCCCATAATAAAGTTTTATTTCCTTCACTGATGATCCTAAAATGAACACATCTGAAAATGTTAAACTAAGAGAAATAAAATCCAGCAGAGTATAAGCTCTAGCCAATTACTGTGAAGTTCATTTTAACATCCAAGGAGTGAGTTGGATGTTGAGGCTTTTTTATTTTTAAATTTATTCCCCTGGGGACTTTTTCTTTAGGGCAACCTTAATTTACTAGTATGATCTGGGCCTCTACACCTGAGAAAATATTCATGATTACTATAAAATATTTGTGAGGATATTTGAAGTCCTCTGAAGATCTACTCTCCATATCTTTTATGTAAACAGAAAAATGTGAGCAACACACTGACTTTGAACTTGCCAAAGAACTCATCTTCCCACCCTAATTCACAGGAAATTAGTCTCCCATTAGGAATGACTGGGAACCACAGAAAGTAGCATTGATATAGGTTAATGGACAATTGGTCATATTGATTTTGAAGACCATAGTCAATCATAACCCAACACCTGGAGACCCCTGTTGGTAAATGACTGGACCCAAGCATTCTTCCACATAACCATTTAAACACCTTTTCTCCCTGGAAAGAAAATAATGATGAAAGTCTACACAAAAATACTATGAAACATTTTTAATCCTGGAAAGGACTTAATTGCTAGTAACCAAAGAGGGGAAAAGTCAACAAGAATAAAATTCAGTCTTTTAAAACAAGTGAACACATATCAAATTGCTCAACATTGTTAAATGTCATGATATACTTTATCCATAGAAGACATGGTCCCATCGAGTGGAAAACTGATTTAAATATATTTTGACAGAATGCTAAGAGATATTATAGGTGGCAGTTGACTTAATGAAGTATTTAAGGCTTCAAAACCGTGCCTTTTAGAAAAATAAAAAATAACTACTTCTACCACTTCAAGGGGAAAAGAAACAATAAATGTCAATTAAAAGTCATAGAAACATGATTAATTTCTTTAAGCCCTTCAGCATTCTACTGAGCTTTGCAAAGGCAAGACCTAAAACTAAAGTGAATTTTATAGCCAGGGTTGGTCGGAATAGTTTCCTCATACTATTCTTTCTGTCATACTTCTTTAGTGCTTGGAATAAAATGACAAGTATTGGGATCCACAGAAAAAAAAAAAGGAACTCCATTCCAAAAGATGAAACTGAGCTGACAAAATCTATTTAATATCTAAAATTAGAAATAAATAAATTCTTCAATCCCAACTACATTTTCAGAGAGTTCGTTAAAATTTAAGGCATTTTTGACATGTCAGAGATTTTAGTCCAGTGACAGGAGAAGAAAGAAGCTACCTGGGAGCAAATCCCAATTATCTCTATGGCTTGGAACATGCCTGTTGAGCACAGCCGAAGATGAAGAGAGAGTGACAGGTGACTGTGCAGGAACTTCCTGACTCTGTCCAGCTGTACAACTTTGCCCGGGTTCTTCTAAAAGGGTGCGTTTCAAATGTATTTCATTCTTCTGCTTAAATTTTGACCAAAAATGGAGATAGACTCATCAGCACTGTTAGTAAGATAAAAATGAGCAATGCCAAAATAATTTCTTCTTTATAATAAGATTTTTAAAAATTAAACATGAAAAAGGTTTATACTAAGTGATGCCCTCCCTGAATCTCACACCCAACAATAAAATAATGGCAATATGCCCATGAATCCAACAGTAGAGATATACACAAAACACACATTCATTCAACAATAACAGCATCATCCAGTGTTTTACCCACCAGCCAGATAAACACAATTCTTTATTTTTCTCCCACTTTCCACAAAAACAAAGACATAACCTGCTAAATCAAAAGTTACAAATCATACCTTATTGAAAGATGTGGGGCAAAACATTCAACACACCCAGCTCATGTGCCCTGCTTCTCTCAGCCAACCACCAGTCTTTTTAAAAATGTGGGTTAAGATCTATAAAGATTACTGTTAATTGGAAACAAACCAGAGCACCAGATCATCAATGGCCAGGAAAATCCCCTGTCAGTTCTAAAACAAAATTGGTCAAATCCAACTTCAAACTGCTTTCAATAAATAATATTGAAGTCGTGCTAATACTAGTAATCTGTTCATCATAGGAAATATCATAATTATCTGGATCACTTTTGAATAAAAACAACAACACTTATTTCATGACTGTTAATGGTATAACCACATTCTTATGAATACCGTTATAAGCAACTTTCTAAAATTGAATTCCTGCCTTATTGACTTAAAAAAAAAACACACAACTCTGTGAAGTCATAATCCTCTACATCCTGTAGCAGAATGATAACTTTTGATGCTTGACCAAGGGCAAATATCCCACTGCCATTTTCTGGAGACCACAGAATTATTCCAATACCTTTGTACAGTTATCTGTACTTGTACACAAGTCATCCCACCTTCTTCATGATTTTGCAAGGTGATTTGATAAACAGGCCTTCCCACTCATTTTTAAATCATGCTTTGAGCATTACATAAACTGTTTAAGCCATTTGACTTCTATGATAGTGTCACTTGTTTGTATTAATGAAAAGTCAAGGTTTCCTTGCTTTTTTCCCCCTAAATATTCCTTCAAAATCTCTAGTCAAGCTCATCTTACCAGTTCCAACAAGAATGGAATTTCAAAGGCAATTATAAGTTTCTATATAACCCAAGCACATGCTGATTCTTCCTAAAAAATTACTGCTTACTTAGGCTTCTGAAATCAAGAAAGATACCCTATGAAAAAAACAAAAAGTTTATTGTCTTTCTTTGTTCATCATTTTTAATTTTTTAAAAAAAAAGATGTTTCAAGGTCTTGTCAGGAAAATAAATATTGGGGAAAAAATAACTATACTTTTAAAAAGTTTTCAAATCTTCCCTAAAACATAAACAAAGAAATGACAAAAATGGGATCACAATGCATATGCTACCTTCTGCCCTCCATAGCACACTTTTCATGTAGAAGTTATAAATAATAAAAGTTACCCATTAATTATATGGCATGCATCAACAGTGCACTGGTAGGCTTAACCTTGGTTTTCAGTTAGGTGTATATAACTGGAATCTTTCAGTTATGTGTATATACAGATAAATCTGAGACCCAAACCATTTGCTTTCCTATTTTTGGCAAGATACTTGACCATGTGATAAGGCAATCAAACATTTCAACCTCCTTCCCTTTTCAGCAGCATGGCCTTCTCTGTAACATCACCAAAGTGCCAGGTACAAGGGTGGGCTCTAGACTATGGTCCTGTAAAACTAGAGAGCAGGTTTCTTTATTCATCATTCTGAAAGCTGCAGCACAGTCTTTTCATATATTTGGAGATCTTGAGGATTTCAGTTGAACAGATTCAAAATGATCTTCTTTTTCCTATGAAGGAAATATATTAAAACAAAATCAACTCATTAAAATTCCAATAAGATTTTAGGATCTTACATGTCCAGAAGGAAAGTTCTGGCAGTCATTTTAATCTAGGTGCCTGCCACTCATAATTAGGATTTTCACATTTAAATAAGGGTGTCCAATATAAAACAGATAGAAGGCCTGCCCTGAAGGATGTTTTTGATATCCAGAAGATAAGACAGACAATCCAAAATTGGAGCAAACACATGACTGCAATAGATACCAAAAGATGTAGCTGTTATTCTTGTGAATAACCCACTGAGATCTTCCTAAGGGGACATTTGACCTGGGTGCTGAAATAGATGACCTTGCCATGCAAATTGTGGACAAACTAGAACTGACAGAAACTAAATATTCTCAAGATAACATAGGCTAAACATAAGAAAAAGGTTGGCAGAAATAAATAAGGCAAACAAAGACACAGATCATTTGTTTTAGGAAAATATTTTGGGCACATATATGCCAAAAATATTAAAAACAAGTCTTCTTTGATAATAAATCAAAATTTTAACTCAAATATATCACAACTGGTGTTTGTTATATGACACATTCAAAATGTAGCCTGTTATGCTGCCATTTGTGCCAACATGGATGGATCTAGAGAATATCATGCTAAGCAAAATAAGTCAGATGGGAAAAACTCAAAACCATATGATTTCACTCATATGTGGTATATAAATCTGAAAACAACAAATGAATAAACATGAAAAACAAATAAAAACTCATAGACATAGACAACAGTGTGGTGGTTACCAGCGGGAAAGGGAGTGGGGGTTAATAAAGGGTAAAGGTGGCCAAATATATGGTGACAGAAGAATTGACTTTGGGTGGTACACAATACAGTATACCAATGATGTATTACAGAATTATACACTTGAAACCTATATAACTTTATTAACTAATGTCACCTCCAATAAATTTAATAAAAATTATTTTAAAATGTAATCTATTAAAATAAATAATTCTTCTTTAATGGAGAAAAAGAGAAGTAAGAGGTGCAATCTCTCCCAATGTTTTCACCGTTAAAGTCAGAAAAAGCTTTCTGAAGGCTGTTGGAATGAGATAGGGAACTATGCTATTGAAGGGAATAAAGATAAAGAGGAAAATGGTTATTTTTAAAATAAAGGAAATAGGAGGCAGACCAGCCCTAGGTGCAACTGGATGTGTTCTAAAGTAGACGAGTAAAATGAGAAAATAATAGGAAGCTGGCATTGAGTATCTATCAGGAAGAATGAGGTTGCTTTGGTGTTGTCTCTCATTTGAGTGGAGAAGTCCAAGACTTCAGACAAGCTTTAAGGCTACAGGGACAGGGTTATAGAAAAAAATCACAGTGTGCACACCAACCTCCGGCTTTGCCCAGCCTTTGCAGAGATGACAAGTCCCAGGGAAAGCAGACTGCAAATCTCAGCACTTGAACTCACTGTCTCTGTGAGAGTTGCTTGGAGTCTCATGTTAACCAGACTTAATTTTTTAAATAACCATTGGTAATTCAAATATTTTTTAAGTACCCACTGTGTTATACAAGAACAGCACTAGACTTCAGGGATACAAAATGTCTGCCCTCAAGGAGTTCAAAGTATATTACAGGAAAGAGCTTCCAGGTATCGCCATGAACTAGAAAGGAAAGCTGAGATTTTGTGACCTTTCCTTGAGAAGATTTGATTCACATGTTCTGGGGGTGAGGAGAGGAGGAGGAAGGGGGCTGAGAAAAAGACCTGTTTTGATTCCCATAAGAAAACTCGGTGTGGCAATGACTAGTATTTGAGCTCTTACTGCCTCAGATTGGGTTTCAAGGTGGAAGGTCACTGGAGAATGCTAAATTGACCCAAAGGAATCTTGACAGATGAGTACGATCACCCTATCTGGACATTTGTCCTACCTTTTATTTTAAAACAGTGCATTAACTGAGATATTTTGATATTTGAGCAAGAAATAAGGTGGATTCCTTTTTTTAAAAAAAAAAGGCTACAATATGTGAATCAAGCCCAAATCAGCAAAAGAATATGAAATTCAACAAATGGGGTTTAAACAGGTTTGCAGTGGGGGAGGGAAGATAATGTGACGTAGTGCAAGGAGTTCTGCTTGCCCGTTCAAGATGCTGCTGTTACTGCTTCTATGTCCGAATATATAGTAGGAATTGATGGTATATGTTTTTGCTTCCTCGTCTCATAAATGTCAGAGGAGATTCCTTTGGTCCAGAGCAGCCCACATGCGGGATATTCCAGGGGTCCTAACTCCTCTGCCATTTGCAGCAAACGTGTGAGTCAGGATTACAGTCAGTCATTCCATGAGGTGGACAAATACCACTTCTGACGCCCAAAGTTGTCACTATACGAATAATGCCCTGTTGGTGTCAAGTCAGAAAGCTGTCTCAACAGTCTTGCCTGTGTTACCAGACTTCTGCCAGCAGAATCCAGGGATCTGCTAAGTTACGTTCCTTGAGGCTATGCGGGCAGATCCACAGTGCTAAGTCTAGCCAGCACTCAAAGACAAATAAGCAGCACCTCCCTGGACTCTTTGCGGCTGGAGACAGTATGGCGTCGCTTGAGTATTTTACTTGCTCTTTTATATCAGCTGCCCCACAAAGTGGGCCCAAACCAGCAGGCTGTGTTAAGAGCTGCCCAGCAAGCTAAGTCATGCTCTCTACCTTAGTGGCCTCACAATCCTAACGACCACTTTGTGATACAACTCACTATGATTAATGATTCTGCCCATTAGAAACTCTGGCGATGGGAAGCAGGCTTCCTCCAGGGGCATCCTTTGGGGTTTTAGACTCATCACCCCCTTGACATGGTTACTCTTTTAAAAAACAGCGACAAGCTTATTACTGAGCTTCTGTCCAAACGAAATGCCATTTTCATGCACAGTCCCATTCGTGGTGAATCAACAAGGTTGAAAGGGCACATAAGCATCACTTGTCAAGTATAAGTAGTATATTCAAGGATACAGCTGGTCTGGGCCAGACCACCTTCCCATGAAGGAAAATGCCTTAGTGTTAATCTCTCAAAATTTAGCTGATTACTGGGTCTACCATACCCACCAGATGCTCTAACAACAATTTGGTTGCCATTCTCCTTAAATCTGTGGCAAGTGGGATTTTGGGAACTGGTATAATTGCTGATACTCTAGTTAATGCTTCTTCTGTGAGTGCTAAAATGTCCTTGGTCCCTGAATAGGAATCTCATGTCTTCTAAAGTGTTTATGAAACTATGGCAGGCTCACTTGTTAGCTTGAAAGTAGGGTAAAATATCAGTTCATGACAAGCACTTCATATTACTATTCTATAGTAATCGTATCCTTCCTAAACTACCATATTAAGAAAAGAAAAATAGCCCTGGCCAGTATGTCTCAGTGGGTTGGAGAGTTATCCCATATACCAAAAGGCTGCGGGTTCAATTCCTAGTCAGGGCACATACCTAGGTTGCAGGTTCGATCCCTGGCCTGGGTGCATACAGGAGGCAGCCAGTTGATGTTTCTTTTTCTCTCTCTCTCTCTCTCTCTCTCTCTCTCTCTCTCCCCCCCCCTCTCTCTCCCCCTCTCTCTCAAATCAATAAACATATACTTGGGTGAGGATTTTAAAAAAATAAAAAGAAGGAAAGAATTATTAAATAACCATTAGTAGAAGAGGAATATGGCTTATTTATTTTTAAATGATCCTCTATAATAGATTCATGTGGTGAAATTAGGAGTAAAAGGTACTGGTTACTAAAATAAATTCATCTTTTGTCACTTGTCCTTCCTTCTGAAAATCATTTCAAATGCATATTTTCTTCTGTTTGATTCTATTTTTAATCCTGAGTGGATAAACTGGACATTTCTATCTTTTAAGTCAATAGTGAAGAATGTGAATAAAATGTGTTTATAAATAATATTTAAGGCTTCATGTTATCTGTCTGGATATGGTGATCATTTCAAAGCCAACAAATGTGCTGGCATCTGATAAGGTACATTTGCTACCCAGCAGTTTACATAACTTCTATTTTCTCTGCATGAAGCAATCTCGTTATAAAATTTTTTAAAAGAAAAGTATAAATGCACATGAGATCTTTCATTAAAATTTTCTTTTTTAATATTATAATACATTATCTTTGTGAAAATTCAAACATGACAAAAATGTCTTATTCCAAAGACTAAAGACACCCATTAGTTCAAACTGCCAAAAAGCAACTACTGTTAGTAGTTTGTTATGCAAATACTAACATAAATGTACATTTATTAGAAATGTGACAGTCTATGTGTTTTTTTTACTTTATCTTGGATCTACTGACATAGATATTTATATCTTTAATAGCTGCAGGGTTACACAGTATTCCATTACATTGCTAAATGAACATTTCTTATCTAACTCCATACTTATGGTGTTTAAGGTTGTTTCTGCTTGGTTAACCAGCAAAAACAATGCTGCAGTGAATAGTCTTGTATTTATATCCTTTTGTACTTCTAAGAGCATTTTTGTTAGATAAATGCTGACAGAAATATAGACATGCTGACTGACAGGGCTTGCAGGAATGCTACTATTAGGTTACTATGGCCCCTAATTTATAAATGCACAGTATGATCAGGTTAAAATTCTGCTCTCACCTTTGTGGCCAAGGATTTGAGTTTTCCCAGTAGTGACTGCTTATTAGAATATACAACTTCCTCTTCATTATCTTCTCCTTCCATGATAGCACAACTGTCTGCAGCTGGGAGTTCACATTCTTTCGAGTTAGTTGACATTACTAACTTGGAATATTTGTACTCCAATCTAAGTAGTAGTAAATAAATAGATAAAGTGGGGGTTTAATATAAAATAGTACTTTTTTTAAGTGATCACACACAAACTCATTAAGTTGTCTTGTAGTACAGTTGCTCTACCAACAAATTTCCCTCACCTATAGCTATTGCACTATATGTTCTCATTTTTGCACCATCTACACACAAATCTTTTTCAGGGTTTCAGAGGATCAATGCAATACAGTGAACTCTATCATCCTTTTACATGGACTAAATTGTCCAATTATGAATTTTTGAAAAACAAAGAGAAACCTTGAGTTCTAAATGCATTTTCTTAATTTATAAATATTTGGAAGCTAATTTACCATACAGTGTTCCAAAGTTCAGGTCATAAGACTAAGAATACCATATAGGCAATTGATTTGGTCTTTACCATTTCTATCACTCATCCCTTTCTATTAGAAAGCCACAGATATTCCAACTGTCTTGAGGTATTATTATATAGAACCTTCACAGCCCCACTGACACATAAATCATTTTAAAAGAGTCAAATTATGTAATACCGCAATATAAAATCAGGAGTTAGACTCAATATTCAACTCTAGATTCTTGGATTTCTTGAATAAATAAAGCTGCTATCTGCTTATACAATTAGTTTGTTTCTTTGCAAATATCTTCCCACAAGAAACTAAAAAAAAAAAAAAAAAAAAAAAAAAACAAGGAAAGTTGGGGCAAGAATACATCATGTCAGGACAAGAAAAATAGACACAGAAAAAAATGGCTTTCTGATTTCAAACCTGAGTCACCATTTTTGTTTTGTATAAATGGATCAAATTCAATAATCTCTGATTTTCTATGATCTCTATATTGTCAGAATTATAATTACTTCCATTTGCTTTCTTTAAGGCTTTTCTTATAACTCCTTCACTGGAAGAAATTACTTATGTCTCTGAGAGAAACTATTGGATATAATGATTAAGTCTAAAATTTTCACAAAAAAGATCCAATGAGGTTACTTACTTCTGATTCTTTTTCCAAAAATAGCAAGTTAGAGCCACCAGCAAAACAGCTGTGAAAGCTCCCACACCTGCTCCCACTTTTAGCCAAAAATCAACTGTTTCACAGGTTGACAATTTTTTCTCAGGCAAAGAAATTCCTTTAATGCACCATTTTGGTTCATTCCATACATATAAGGTTTCCTTTAAAAACAAAAAACAGAGATGACATAAAAAATAAGATTCAGATGGAGAAGGGCTTTGCTAACCCTTTATTCATGTAGGCATAGAGGATTATTCAGCATTCATCTAGTAGAAGCTCCAGAGATGTAGAAGTTATATAGAAGGTGTAGAAGAGATACAGAGGAGTGTGGATAAGGAAATGAATTAAAATGCAACAGAACCAATTAAAACCATGGATTGTCATATACATGCTAAGGAAGTTGAATAAAAATGACTCCATCTAGACCAGCGGTTCTCAACCTGTGGGTCGCGACCCCTTTGGCGGTCAAACGACCCTTTCACAGAGGTCACCTAAGACCATCCTGCATATCAGATATTTACATTACGATTCATAACAGTAGCAACATTACAGTTATGAAGTAGCAATGAAAATAATTTTACGGTTGGGTCACAACATGAGGAACTGTATTTAAAGGGCCAGAAGGTTGAGAACCACTGATTTAGACACATCCTTTGGCTATTTTCCTCACATTTCTGATATCTCTGACTTCTGATTCATGTTTTTAAATGAACGTTTAGTTGGTTAATATAATTATAATTGGAATGTTTTCCCCTACAGGCCTCTTCCTTGAGCAGGAGAGTAGACCTTGCACCCTGGACATGTAGATACAATTTGAATGTCAGGCTTTGGTGACTGGTGTGGGGGTACACAGATTGCACCCCACTTCCCATGCCTAAATAAGGATGGAATTATTCTGGGTCATCACTACCCAAACGAGGTTTTACTCTGAGCTTCCAAAAGTAGATGACAATTTATTTAAGGCAATGTTTTTCAACCTGCAAATTGCAACCAGTGAGTAATAAAATCAATTATTTTTGGTCTCAACCAGCAATTAGAGAAATAAATAGATCAAATAAAACAGATTAGAAATAAAAACCAGAGCACAGTGCATGGTTCCTAATATATTTCAACATATGCAGTGACCAGTAGCAACATGCATGATGATTATATTCAGTGACATTAGGTGTCATGGGGCATTACATTTTTTGCTCCTGGTGTCTCATTACATTTTCTGGTGTATGCTGGTCACTTTATCAACACCCTGACAGGAGGATAATACCACAATGTTTAATTGGATTTTATATACATGCTCAATTTTTTCAGTTAGTGATTGATGTGCAGAAGAATCATATTTATTTACTTTGAGAAAAAGTTTCAACCAAGTCTAGATAAGAACTTTCAGCATTTTTTTCTAAAAAGGACATTAAAATTAAGAAGTTTTTTCTTGCATGATAACTACAACATTTTCGTTAAACTCAGTATGAGTAAATTACTTTTATAAGAAGGATGAGGTGAGAAATGAAGAGGCATATTCAAGTTGAACTGACACATCTCTAAGTGTAGGTAATGACAATAAAAAGACAAATGTTAACCCTAGTCAGCAAATGTTGACTTCATCTGAAGTGCATTCCAACAGGAAAACAGGCCGTAAAAAGTTTATATGGCTTTATTAAATGTCCAACACCCAGTGAAAAATGGTACCCTCTAATATCTAATGACAGTCCTATAAATAAAGTGCTAAAACTTCAAAATAAAAAAGATCCTTATAAACCCAGTATGCTTAACTTTAAGCTCCTCAAATTGTTAAACAAAACAAAAAAAAATGAAGCTATTGGTAAAATTTCTTAGCCATCTATAACTTCATCATTTTATACATTTCTTAGTCATTTTATCAATTAGGAAGCCTTACGCCTTCACTTGGTCACATGTCATCGGCAAACCTGGAAATACAGCTGAAAAGCTTACTCTTCCAGCATGTAGGAATGTTTTGTGAACAAGGTGAGATAAATTAGATGATAAATTCAAAAACATTCCTCTTAGTGATCACACAGTCCCTCTTCAAATCTTTACTACTATCTGACATTTAGAAGTATTGCTTACACAGCCTTAGAACCTGGTATAGATTTTTGAGATCCAATTTGATAGGAGCACTTTTATCACACGTTGTGCAGCTCTGTGAGTTTATATCAGCTATACGTGGAGGACTTGTCGTGTGTAACTTTAACTTTATACGCATCTGGATTTGGATGTATTTATAGAGTTGGGGAAGTAAAATATAAAATGAAAAATTACAAAGGATGGAGCAGGAACTAGGGCAGAAATATAGTGGAATCATTTAAAAATTAAAAGAAACGTATAGCAATAATCTGTAATCACTGTCATTTTCTATCAAAAGGCTTTGGCATCCAAAGAAATCTACCCTAGCTTGTGGACATAATGGAAAACACAGTGAGAGCTGTCCTTTGTATTGTGTGAAGCTTATGGAAGAGCAGACTTTTTGAAATATTTTATTCAGAGATTGGAGGTAAACCTACCCACGGACTGAATCACACCCATTTGTTTGTTGTTACAATGGAATACACTAAACAAGGTGTATGAGCTTAGAAATGGCATTTATATTTTTTCCAGTTGAACCTTGATCTCATTTGGCAAATATCTTCAAAATTGCATGTTTAACTGATTCTGGTATTTCTCAAATTAAATTGGAATTATGAAGGGGGATCATATATTTCAACATATCAAATACATCAAAAGATATTATTCTTAAGATCAAAACATATATTTAAAAGGATCTCACCACTATCTGTTTCTAATGTTCTTATCACATGTTGAACAGAACTTCTTCAATGAAGACAGTTTGAGATAAAATTAGAGGAACTGTTGTGACCTATCTTAAACTCCCAATCATTACCTTCCAGAATAGAAATATTAAATATTAAAGGATATTTTAATAAAGATAGTTGAGATTTTCAAAACTTGAGTTAAACTTGGTAGCCAAAAAAAAGGGAATGCATCTTAGTTTTTCATTTGCTCTAAAAAAATGATTATAAGATAATAAGTTTATCATGATTTTAGAGAAAAGGTAAAGATGGATTTCCATTGTGAAGCATTAAAAGTATATCATTATTATTACGAGGATTTAAAAGACATCATGTTTTGTGAATCTGAACTTTTCATCCTTACCTACTTAATAATGTTAAAAAAGAAATTGCTCAACAGTCACTCTACGTGAGCAACACTGTCTTTGAATGCTCAGTGTAAAACTTCAGCTACCTCAGCATATGGGAGTTTAGCTTCCACACTTGATTTTAAATGCATATTAATGTCACATTAAGGGAACTATAAGCTTTAGCCATGCTCTCAAATCTGAGTTTCTATGATGTAATCGATGTTAGACTGAAGGACTGTATCTTCAATGACACAGTTTGCTCCTTACCTGAAATCCTCTCTTACAGGCGCCCTCAATCTCATGAAAGTCATGCTCTGTGCACAGAGGGCAAGCTTCGGCACTCTCCCACAGGAAGTAAAATGTACATCCATCACAGGTGCCTGCTGGACACTTGCTGAAATAAAAATTTTTTAAAAAGACAGTTTTTGTATCACATTCAATCAAGTCTAATCAACACCTGAGTGTGGACTGCATACTGGGAAGTAATGCGTGGATACCAAGAAAACATACATTTAAAAAAATAATCTATAGGAGAGAAAACGACAATGAGATTCCACTTTGCACCTACTAGGATGGCTAGAATCACAAGGACAGAGAATAACAAGTGTTGCAAGGATGTGGGGAAACTGGGACTTTCACACACTGGCAAAGCGGTGAGGGTGCTTTGGAAGAATCTGGCAGTTCTTCAGACAACTACACAGAAAGTTGCCACAATTCCAATTCTAGGTAAATACCCAAGAGAAATGAAAACATTTTCACAGAAAAACTTGTACATGATTATTCATAACAGCCAAAATGTGGAAACCACCCAGATGTCCCTCAACATTAAGATGGTGAATGGATAAACAAAATGTGGTATATCCATACAACGGACTATTACTCAGCCATAAAAATGAATACAGTACTAATGCATGCCCCAAATTAGACGAACCTCAAAAACATTATGCTAAGTACAAGAAACCAATAAAAAATTCCATGTGTCATGTGTTGTTATTCATGTCAAAGTCCATAACAGGGAAATTTATAAATGCAAAGTAGGTTAGTAGTTGCTTAGGCTGGGAAGGGGGCTGGGGTTTAGGGAGCTGATTAAGGGTATGATGCTTCAATTTAAGGAAATAAGAAAGATCTAAAATTAACTACAGTGATGTTTGCACATACCCAAATATATAATAACCATTGAATTGTATGCCTTGAATGAGTGAATTGTAATGGTATGTGAATATATCTCTATTGAGCTGTTTTTAAAAAAATTAAAGGAGAGAAAGGCACAGGTAACGACAAAAAATAAATAAAAAGCTCGGGGAAGGTTTCTTGGTGGAAGTTATATCTAAACCAAATCTAGAATATTCTAGAATAGAAGTTAGCCAGAATAGAGGGAAGAAAACAAGGGAATTCATGCCAAAGGGATGAAATGGCAGGTGAAGTGAGAGGAAATTGCAAGCAGGTCATTGTGGCTGGAGTTCCAAGAGCGAGGCAGTGAGTGAGCAGTGGGCAACCAGGTGTGCCCTGGGTGGTAACCAGAGGTTGCAATTTCTTTTTCTTTTCTTTTTTTATTTCAGAGAGGAAGGGAGAGGGAGAGAGAGGCAGAAACATCAATGATGAGAGAGAATCATTGATCAGCTGCCCAGGAGGTTGTGATTTCTGTTTAAGGTGATGTATGTGGGCAAGATGCTTTAGGGGACAGAATGATACACAGGACCGTGGTCCACAGAAGGTGGGAAAAGACATGAAAACAAAATTGTCTAAAGTGAAAAAACACACAAAACCACCATCGGGTCAATCCATAGCTAATGCTTTTTGCAATCTTGGGTTTCCTCGACCTGATGACGACTTCCTTCGAGATGTGGTTACAGTCATCACTCGGAAAAGAAGGATGAAGTTTAGACGGGTGCAAACTTAGACACAGTGCAACCACCAGGCAGGAATTGAATGGAGACTTTTTGAAACTCTGCTCTCTGATGCAGTGGGCCTATTAGTGTCAACTGGCCACTTCCATTTTAGGGGCAGATAAACACAGCATGGCTCAAAAATTAACCTGCCGCTACTGTGTAGAGATTACTGAAGGAAGAAGGTATTTGGGAAAATTCTAGTAGGAATGACTGTTTATGAATTTGTAAAACTAGAGAAATATTGTTCCCTTCATTTGTCTACTACACCCCACTTAAGCTCTTCAGCCTTAACTGGTGCTGAGTACAGGTGTCCTGAAACATTTAAAAGCAAAAAGATAGATACACAGTAATAGGGAGAATAAAAAGAAAAACATCCTTTCAAGGTTTAACTTCAAATGCCAAAACTGTAATTTTCAATCTACCAAAAAGGTAACATTTCACACTCTTAATTAAATATATCATGTTACCTAGAATATGAACACACAAAAATTCTATATGCCTAAAAATTGACTGCATTTTACCTACCTATCTTTCCAAAGTGCCTGTGTGCTGCAGCCTAAGGGAACATGGGCGGAATGTAAACTACATGCTTCAGAAACAGAGGCCCGCTATTGTCAGAGCGAAGAACAATGGTGAACAGTGATTCTTTGGGAAAATGGCTTCCCTCTTAATTTCTCGGTGTGTAAAAAGGGATTAATACATATATCCAGACTAATAAAAAATGTTTTTTAAAAGGTAAGTGCAATAGATAAACACTATGTCAATTTTAAACATTCTTCCTAATGCCCACCTTCCAGATCAGTAAAAGCAACTCAAAATTGTTCTTTTGGAAAAAAATGGGTAACCAATTAGAAAAATTCTTCAAGAATACATTGATTATTTTCTTAACAATGACTTGCAATTTTAAAAATAAAGACACTTATGATTATTTAGCAAATATTACCAGCATGCTTTCTTGCTCGAATCTGGCCTCCCCAAATTGTTTTCTATTTTACATTTCCAACACATAGAAGTTTTAAAGGGGGGGGTGGGGGGGGGACTGTTTATCTTCAGAAAATAAAAGAGTAGGCCTGCTAAAGTTTGAGGGGGAAAAAACTCAAATCACAAAGAAAAAGGGAAAATTAATCAAAGTTGCAAAAGGCCCTGGAGAGAAGGCTTGGCTTACAATTCCAACTGAACTTTCATGTGATTGTGTTTTTCATAAGTGACTCAACACCCCTCCTACCATATCATTTTTTGTAATTTGTCAAAAGCAGAATGTCTGCTATACTGCTTTCACAGGGTGGTTATAAAGGATAAAATGAAAGAACAATTTGGAAAAGTCTAAAGCACTTCAAAATATAAAACACTATTAATAATGCACATCACTTTCTAAAGAACTGCAGAGCTACAGGAACAGAAAAAAAAAAATCAAGACATTGAAGTACTTTGTAAGCTGCCATTTGGTGTCAAAATACTACAATGATTCAGTGCATTGCCTTGGTAGATTTCACTTTTTCAAAGAAATTCTTAGGTTAAAAGCAGTTTAATTTAGAATCAATTCTTTAATTCTTTTAACCCAATGAATCATTTAAAGTGTGGAATATTCAAATTCAGTTCTTTGTTATAAATATAAGTTTCACAGTTTGAATCAAGCCTTTCCTGTGAAACAAGGATGTATGAAGCAGTAACAATTTTGATGGTTCTTATACAGAAAATGAAAATAAATTTTAAAAAAGAAGAAGAAGAAGAAGAAGAAGAAGAAGAAGAAGAAGAAGAAGAAGAAGAAGAAGAAGCCGCCGCCGCTGCCGCCGCCCAGCCAGAATGTCTCAGTTGGTTGGGCATTGTCCAGTGCACTGAAAGGTTGCTGGTTCGATTCCAGGTCAGGGCACATACTTGGGTTGCAGGTTTGATCCCTGGTTGGGGCACTTAGGAGTATGAAAGGCAACCAACTGATGTTTCTCTCCCACATCAATGTTTCTCTCTCTCTCTCTCTCTCTCTCTCTCTCTCTCTCTCTCTTCTCCCCTTACCTCTCTCTAAGTAGGTCCTCAGGTTGAGGATTTTAAAAAATGAATGGAAAAAAAAGATGCAAGAGAAAAAATATTTTTCTCCTACTAAGAGAAAAACAAAAAGTGAATACTAAGATAAACACTTTATTGCTAAATATATGAAATACTTTTCCATTTGAAGACCTGAGTTACCACTATCTCCACCTTCTACCCCCATCTTTCTAGAGGTATCACTAATTGTGCTTCTTTTATAACTTTTGGTCCATGCAATCCCCATAGAAACCAGTGAGTAAATGTTTAGAGACAGGACTAGGGCATGGATCGCTGGAGCATACAAGACTAGAGCTGTACAGGATGAACAGGTGTGCTGTGAATTCTAGGCACAGAGACCATCTTATATTCAAAGGACAACCAGGTGAATCTTGATTTGGTTTTATTGATAAGTGAGGAAGAAATTTCCCTGTTTATTTTGCTTTGGGGATTGCCTTACCAACCAGGATGGCACTGGCAACATGTAAGAATTCAGATGAATCTCTTTTGGGCAGTTATGTCTTAGATTTTAAAGTGGAATATATTTCCTGGGACATAACAGTACTGAGCTATGAGTTATTAGTGTCCTCTTTTAAATGAATCATTGTACTTACAGAAGAATCTCCTTGGTTCATATTATGAATTCATGCAGACAGATCTTGTTTTCTTTGGAACTATGATGACCTAACACTCAGCCTCCCATTAATTGTTTGGATAGTTGGTGAAGCAGTGTCAAATTGTTTTGCCTAAGCTTCGTTCAAAATCCAAAGTTAAACAAATTCATCTACCTTGTCAGTACATTTCTGATCCTTTCTGGAGTTAGTCCCAGAAACTGGGGGGAATGGCCACAGTCTTGTGTGCCTAGAACATTTCTTGTTTGATGTTAGGGCACTAATGTTGCTAAACTTCTTTCAGGTGGGGCTTTGGTGGGTTTCTTAAGATTTCCAGTAGCCAGAAGACTTTGGAGCCAGAAGACTGACATCCTCTGGGATGGGTGAGGCTCTAGTCTTGCCTTGTCATTGGCAGAAACCCATCTTGGCAGGGTCCAGACAATGCTGTTGCATCGTGCTCCAATTTCATCTGCCCTAAGGCTGAAGAGCATAAATCGCTTTTGACTGGGTTTGAATGTAAGACAGTTTGACCCACAGCTCTTATATTCAGGGATAGAAAATTCTACCAGTCTCCTGCAAAAGCCTTCTTTTCTAAAGATTACCCTGGGGTAATAACCAAAAGTCAGCATCTGATCAAGACCTGGACCAACTACATTAACTGACATCCCCTAGTCCTTTTTATCTATAGACTCTATATGTGAAATAAATGCCTGTCAAAGCTTTACAACCTTATTTAAAAATTGATCTTGAAGTGTTATGACTGTTCTGTGATATTTTAATATACATGTCTTATGATTACTGATTAATGTCTGGATTGTATCACTTTAATAATTCTGTATGAGAGCATTTCCATTTCTTGATCAGAATGGGTTTTAGATGTTTTTGTTTATGCACATAATGCTTTTATATGTGTCCTTACTTTTTAATGTTATACGACCATACTTGGTTTTAATCTTTTCAATTCTATTACCTTTTTTACTTAACTTATACAGATTTAGATATCTATTACTTGTCCATAAATAGTGCAGAGGAAAAAGAACACAAGGAACTCACTAAACCAATCATTATTCTCTTGCTCTTAACAATTTAAAATAGATAGACTTTGGGCTTTAACAGTCCTTCCCCAAAGACCAAAGAAAAACACTAGACTAGCATCCAATAACTTTGACAGACCCTGAATCAGGGCCTGTGGGATGAACCCTGGCACACTGAACACTGAACACTATCAGGGCAGGACTCTGAAACGTCCCTTTTCTGAGAGACAGTATTCCCGGAGGCTACCCCTACAATGAAGATGAATTTGGAATTTGAAGGAGGTTTTGGCAAAATAATTTGAGGCTGATATATAAACTACCCAAGCAGTTAAATATGGTTGTAAGTGTTGAGAGAGCGAGGATGCTGATTTTCCCTCTAACTCACATTAATAAAGAAGACTGTATTTGAGGAAAGTTGACTCATTAAAGGAAGGCGCCCATAACATGCAGATCAGTTGAGTTATCCCTGGGTAAATGTGATATTTGCTCTGCTTAGCATGCTTCGTTGCAAATCTTTACCATAAGGACGTGGAAGGAGGGAAATAAAGAGATGAAAACAGGATGGCACGAAAAGAGCAACAAACACGGTCAGGAAATCAGTCCGTCCTGACTGTGCCACTTGATAGCTACACAATGTGGGTCTTCCCCGTTTCCCACTGTGAATGGCAAATGGGTTTTGACTTAAGGATCTGTAATGTGCTATGACATTTCGATTATCCAAGTAAAACTGGTTCCCTCTGTCTGTTTTCTAATAAGGCTCTTTTATAACCTTTTCACTGAAAGACATCTCTCGTTTTCGAAAGCACTTTGGACACAGTGGGTAGGTCCAATTATTCCTAATGAAAGGAGAACCTTCAATTCCTCTAACCACCTGGAGTCATGATTAGAGGTTTGGAAAGCCTTTCAGACAGAGGCTGGAGGGGCATCTATTTAGGGATATTAGTGGCCTATTGTGTTAGCAATTTATTCTTTGGCCAAGGTACAAGCTGCACTAGATAATCTCAAACGTCCACTCCAGCTCTCAGATTTCGTCTAGCACAGACATCATGCTGCTAAGTTTTTATCTAAAATGTCTCACACCCTCCAGACACTTTGTGGAATTAGAAACCAACTGCATTTGCCAAACCAAACAGACAGGCTGGTGATTCAACTGCAGATTAGCAGGCGGTCCCGATAATTTGCTGCTCTCTCTAAATTCTCCATGAGCTACGCAGAGAGCACACATTTCTCCTTTTCTCCTGCCTCGTTCACTATCTGTTAAGACAGTCTCATTTTCTCAGGGCTGGGGGGTCTTGTGACATTTTCCCAGGTTACCAAGACACAGTGCTACCGGGGGTGGGGGCGGAGGGGGGTAGCATCCTTTTCTATCTGTCAGCCTCCCTTCTGAGAATACTTGATCAGTGTGAAAGACTTCTCAAGTCAATTGCCTGCTTAGCACCTTCCTCTCTCTCCTGGAGAATTTAAAGTACCCACCCTCTAGAAATGCAAATTAAGTCCTCTTCAAAAGTAGTTTAAGTATCTGGCTTTGTAAACATTTCTTTACCATTAGGAGGAAATCGCAAATCTTTATTGGCCTTGATGCTAAAGAAAATTCTAATTTTCTCAGAACAAGCTTCTGCTTCTCCTGCTCTGATCCCAGAGCTCCCCCTTGTGCCCTGATGAGAAACTGACTCAAGAAAGAGCTAAAGGTCAGCACATTTAGATTGTGGGGTTCAGGCAGTTCCCCAGGGCAGCAGTTCTCAAACTTCAGTGAGCATCACAATTATAAACCCACCCTGTAAATCATGACATTGAAAACTAGCTTTTCAGAAACGAAAATGCAGAAAAAAATTTGAGAATCTGTCTCAGAAAAAAAAAAGATCTCTACAACATGGATTAAGACCAGTGTTTCTCAAATTTTGATATGTATCAGAATTGCCTTGTGTTTTTAAAGACATTCCTATGCTGAACACTCAGAGATTCTTTACATGTTTGGGACGGTCTAGAAAATGGTTTTAAAACAGACACCCCAAGGGGTTCGGCTGCAGGGGATCTTAAGAAACCCTTGAAAAGACAGTTAAGGTTCCTAAGTAGGAAAACATACTAGAGGTCAAAGCAGAAACTTAACATCTCCTCTCCTCACAACAACAAAAAATTTCCCTCTCCTCACAACAACAAAAAAAGTCACTTAATATCATGAGATTATTTTTCATTATTTTTAAAAACTCAAAACCTATTTCAGGATAGTTAAAGAGAGATATTTTCTAAAGGATAGACTAGTCTTTTAGCAACGTTATCTGCTCGATTCAGAGATCTGGAGGAGGCTTCACAAGTCATCCATATAGACTCCTAGAGGCTAGACCCAAGGAGGCTAGTTGCTAGGTCCAAAAAGGACCTCAGAGGTGCTAAAGAGAATGAGCAATCTGCACTCAAAGCCACATGGCAGGGCATCGGACAACAGTTAAAGAATCTCTGATCTGCTGCCTGGACCTTAGCATGGACGCTAGCCCAGGGATCTCCCACTATGTGATACTTATAATACTTGGGAGGACCAGAATGAGTCATCCCAAGATATGCCTCTGTGATATGCAGATTACCCTGTAAGCTAAAGGCACTTTTAGCTTCAGGCTCAAGATAAACTTTGGCCCCTCCCTTTACTATCTATAGGGCAGGGCACACTTCTATTTACTGAAAGTCTGTTCTGATGGTCCTGCAATGACCCTTTGAAGACCCCAGGGTGCATTACCTCATCCCTCGCTCAGGATGTCTTGTACCTCAACCCCCCTCTCTATCTCTGAATCTCTCCTGTATGTGGGGTTTCAGACGTACATATGTATGTATTGAATTTGGTTATTTTCTCCTGCTAATCTGCCTCAAGTCCGTTTCATTATTAGTCCAACCTGAAGACACTTGAGGGCAGAGCAAAGTTTGTTCCTCCCCCACAATGCCCTTGAGCAGTAAGCTCCCTCTGTTTATTCCACTGATTGATATCTATTACCTTTTATTATGTATTTTCATCACATTCTTCTCTCAGAAAAGGTGAAAAGAAAAATTAAGTCATAGATCTATAAGAACCAGAGAAACACAATTGGTAAGAGGTGAATGCTAGAATGCCTTTATGCCCAGAAATAAGCCTCAAATACTGTTAACCACTGTAATTATTTTCAAAATGCCCAAGTAATTGAAACAATGCTTAGACCACTGACTTCCAATCCTGATGTAACGTAAGCAGGATAACTTAAGATCTCTCAAGGGCTACTGTGAAACTATCAAAAATAAAATTAAGTAAATTATTTTCTTTAAAAAACATAAACTTTGATAGTTTGATAAAGGGAAATTTGCAAACTACAATCCAAAGGTACCATAACCCTAAAAAGATTAGGATAAATAATATACATAATGAACAATGAATAACTGTGAAGAACAGAAATCAGGAGACATTTAAGTGTCACTCTTGCATGAAAGCAATCTTTATTTAAATCATCGGTTCTCAACCTGTGGGTCGCGACCCCTTTGGTGGTCGAACGACCCTTTCACAGAGGTCATCTAAGACCATCCTGCATATCAGATATTTACATTACGATTCATAACAGTAGCAACATTACAGTTATGAAGTAGCAACAAAAATAATTTTATGGTTGGGTCACAACATGAGGAACTGTATTTAAAGGGCCAGAAGTTCAGAACCACTGATTTAAACTGACAGTTCTTCTGAGTCTATGAAATTGCTTCCTTTCTCCTAGTGTTCCTACGCAAAGTGGATGTATGAAACAGATCGAGAATGTGGACAGCTGTTGCCTCAATGCCAATCAGTTAAATAAACAGTATCATGTAGTCTCTAGGTCACACTCTGCCTTGGTGATTTTGCCACCATTAATCAGAAAACTCAAGAGTTAGAAATGGATCATACAAATTATCCACCCTGGCCCCATCCCCTTGAGAAGGAAACTGATCTTGCAAGGCGTGTCAGGCCATAAAAACTGTGAACAATGCACTGCCCTGGGGCGGGGAGTGGGGGTGGGGAAGGTCATTATCGCTGGCCCTAGGACAGGTCATCGGACATGGCCTGGGACTCCCAACACCTGGGGGCCTTCCTGTAAGCCCACGAAAGGGGCGGAACCATATCTGCAGACAAGACCCCAGAAGGTATAAAAAGGAAGCTCTGCGTGGTTCTTCACTCTGATTTTGGAAATAATTC